ATGAAAAGAAAGAACGTCAGGGAGTCATGGGAAACAAGCTTCATTTCAAAATCATGCCAGCAGTCTTGTGGGTTTTCACTTTGGGTCCTCATCATCAAGGCGGGTATCAATCGCAGATCTCGACGCATCGCCTCGCCCAGCTCGCCATGCTCTGTAGGAACTCTTAAACCACTCTCCCCTCAAAATCTTTTTTCATCCTACTTCCTAGTAAAAAACCACCTCCCGCCGTCGTTGCTGACAAAAAAAATCCGACGCCGACCAAATGTCCGCAAGAGATGCTGACTCTGAACATTTTTCTATCACGGTCAATACAGTATTCAGTGGCGTTCACTGCGTGTGAGTATGGCAGATTTATAGTTATCTGCGGTTCGTGAATACGTTTCTCACGTCATAAATGTTATCGCAGTACTCTGACCTCTGGGTGGGGGGCTTCTTGCAGGATATCTTTGCCGTTTGATAATAACAAAACCCTGGGGAAAAATCATGTCGTTTAATGGGATAACGGGCCACAAGTTTGCTGCCGCCAACTTTGCGGGTAACGTTTCCCCCCCCCCCCCCTCTCATGTCTCTACAGGGGACCCTGTGGAACAAGACAAATCAATTTCTACTTCTTCTCCACGCCCAGCGAAAAGCGTTGCTGGATGGGCAACCTGTCCCCCAATCTCCCCTTCCTCGTAACAATAGATGATTGTTCCGCTCTCCATTTGCGACGGCTAACCTCCGAATCTGAACTCTCACAATCTCAATCGAATGTTCCTCTCTCGGGTGTCCGAAGCATGAAGGGAGAGTCAATCGGTCCTCGGATTACTCCCATAAACTTAACTCCTTTTCCAGATCTGAGTCCGCGTTTTGTGGGTTGTGGCCCGGATGAGTCACAGTTGGCGGGCACTTTAGCTCCCCCAGCGCCTGCATCCTGCCGCTGTTACAAACATAGGCTACAGCTCCTCTACACTCTCACTCTCATCAACTCAACTCATCCATTTCTCAAGTAATAGGTTTAGGTAGACCGATAAGTTCAGTTTGAAGAACTACTAACATTATGTAGATTGTCTATTCTTTACCTTAACTCCAGTGTGTTCGTGCGCATATCGCAAGTATTACATCCTAAATTTAATGCCCCACATTTGGAGCAGAGGCGCGAAATTGTGGCTAGCCAGCTAAGCTTTTACCTTAGAGAACAGGCCCGTGGTTGTCAGAGCTGAACATAGTAGAGTGCAGAGCAGAACTTCTCGATCCGGTACTAACGTTGGCACCACATGGGACATTTCGGACACGATTCTAGAGTTAAAGAATTCGTACGGACGGTACGTGCATCACAACGTTGCCGCTGTGGCACGATAGGATGTAGCTATTATATGATCTTCGTTTTTTTCTGTTCGCTATCCAGGAAGTTGAGAATACGCCAACAACATCGAACTACAGAATGACACCATGATCAGGAAGGAGGTAATGACAAACGTGATGGGAAACAAGTGCCTATGCATGCACCACCCCCCGCATGTGGGGGGTGAAAACCAATATCAGTAGGTTTGAAGCATACTGAATCACCAGCAATGGACTTACAGTTTACTGTTCTGAATAGTGTACAAGCTTACTTGTTTCTTGTGACTATTAGGTAGGACGGTGAAACGCTGTAAGTAAATGGATGAACTACGGAGGGTCATTATGAGAGGTCTCAACTGAGTCTGCCAACTGATCCAACAATCTCTTTCCACTCCTCACTCTATCCCAAGACATGAACGCGATACAAAAAACTGTTGCCAGGTCCCTGACAGAAAATAGGACGCAAGTATGTACTGTAACAATAAGCCCGCCACCACTGTGTTTGAAAGGCGTGATCTTGTATTAGTTTTACACATAGAGGCAACACTATGACTTCATTTTGCATCATAATAATCAAAGCTTTATGAGTAACCAAAATGTAACTCTCCACTAGCTAAACAGTACATACTTAGAGCCCTTCACTATAAATATTATATTCAAACAATTTTAAAAAAAACCCTTTCTCTTCTCAGGAGCTGGAGATGTATGTAAGATAGTAGAATGCTCACATTTCATTCACGATACCACCAGATTGGCAGTCCTTACATGGACTGCAAGAACTCCAAGTACGAAAACATAAACTGTCATTTTCTTTGGCCACATACATACACTCTCCTCTCATTTCGCCAACTGTATAGGGACGAGGAGTGTCTGGAGTATTCTACTACCTTGTACAGGGCCCTCAAGTGTCGGGTGTTTGTCTCATCGGACTCGAGACAACTCAGAATACCAGCCTATACTAACCCTATTCGCTACTTTTAGTCTTCTCATTAATGGGCCACTTGTAGAATTTAATGTATAACTATTTGCAATGGCGCCATGCTCGTAAAGCGTTGTGGGCGTGTATTATGTGACTTAAAACTGTGCTGTCGTCAACTAAGATCGAAACTGGTTGGTCTTGTGTCCGCTTTGTCTGGTCTTTCTGCTGCCGTACTCTGCCGAGCAGTGCGATGATACTCTCCATTTGGGAACAGAGAGATTCGATGAAGGCTCTGTCTGACTTCTCTACACTTGGGATTTGTACGGTGTACGATACTTATGGGGGAAACACCTTATCAAGTTTAGGTCGCGGAGCCATAGTAATGTTGCTAATAATCTATTCCTCCGTCATTAGGTGTCATACTAAAAGATTGTACAATAACTATGCGGGCGCGCGGCAATGTGCCTAGCGAAACCCTTACTAGCCTTTGTATAGGTTTGTTTATCCTTTCCCTCATCGTAGTATGTCCATTAGTAGTATTAGCTACCACACGAGCTGTATATAATAACAACCGCCTGCTAAGAACTAGCCGCATACTAGCTAGCTTTTGACCTGAACGACGTGAGACACAATGATAGCGCCAATATTGAGTAACAGTGTTTCATGGTCGAATGACAGAGGAACAAGGGACGAAACACAGCATCTGAAGAATGTTTACACTCTCTGGGCTGACGATGCTGTCACAGCAGCCGTGGCACTGGGCTTCTTCTTCCTGCTTCAGCTACAGTACGCCTGTCATCTGTGGGTCTGTTGTAACGCTTCTTTCTACTCGGTGTATTGATTGTACATTGTACAGTGTGTTATGGTAGGAGTGAGGGGTAACTAGGCAGAGCCCTATCTAATTAAGGGTGTGTCACAGTGAGTGATGTGCGTGAATTTGGTAACATGACAGTGTTCTTGCTGGTAATGTTAAACATCACATCGTCATCAATCAGTCCTTATTATTGTGTGGACTACATACATTCTGGTAGGCTAGACTGTGGCCACTCATGTCATTCCATTCTAGTGCACATAGTCCCTCGGTTAGTATGGCACCATCAAGACTGTTCAATTAGGGGTGGGGTGTATTATACTTCTAAAATTTAGAAGGGAATGATGCAATGACATTTTGCAGGTGATGATGATGTAATGGCCATGACTTTCAGTGTATAATATAGCATGAGAAACGTGCTTTGTGATGTGTATTATCTTATGTGGCCTGATCTGATTGGTCCAAATACAGTGTACAGTATGATGTAATGACACACTATTGCTCTCCCTCACACAAACACGCACACACACACACACACACAGGTTTCACTGCTGGCAGTCCTGGGGTCCATTGGTCTCCTATTTGCCATCATGTTCACTCCACACACTCCCGAGAATGTTACCAAGAGACTCGGTATTGTCCACATCTGCATTTACATACAACTAGACTACGTTATCACTTCTCACGTATTGCTATTGCTGTGTAATGAATAAACTTTCAATGACCACTCTACCACTGTATTTCATGTACAACCTTCCCCCCTCCCCCCCCTCCTCCCTCCCCTCGTGGTATCTCTAGGTTTCCTCTGTGCCTTTGGTGCATGCACTGGTGTTAGTCTGGGACCACTTCTTGGTGCAGTTGCTGACATCCAGCCAAGGTCTGCATTGGTTAATTCATTATGTTCCTTTTGTGACATTCAGAACTGCATGTGCATGAGTAGCTACTACTATCACAGTTGATGGTTTGACTGGGCTAAGGGACTCTGCCCTGGCAAGTAAAGAGTTGCTCCATAGCCTTTTGTGAATTGTCTGCTTACTACAAGCATGTCTACTGTTTTTCTCCTGTTGTGCTTTCAGAATACATGTAGATGAAACTGTCCCATACTATACCTATTTGAACATTTCAGTATGTCTATGTATTGTCTTCTCTCTTTCTCTCTCTCCACACCTCTCTGTGGTACACAGTATCATCCCAACGGCATTCCTTGGTTCGTGTGCCATATTTGGTAGCCTCAGTCTTGCCGCTCTGTATGCCGAGAGGAGAAGTATGCTGTTCTTGGGAGGTATGCCAGCAGCTATTTCATTACTCACCAACAGAGAGCATGGGATAAGGTTTTCTGTTTGTTCATACTAAATGTCAGACCATGCTAGATTTGCCAGGACACACCCACCACGTTACAGATAGCTTACCAACACTTCCTTTGGCCAACTGTTTGTATATCTTCACTGGGTTTCCCCAAACTATTTGCAGGTGTGCTGCTTTTCCAACTCCTAATGCACATGGAGCCACACTATGTCATGTGACAATAGCTAGTTAACCAGTAGAATCACGTTACCGCACATGTTAATGCATCTGTTTCTATGTGGATGACTGTATTGTAGAGCGGCAGCAGTATACATGAACTAGTTAAAAAACGGAATGTTTTTCCTCGCACTCCAGTTTTTGTCACAATTCTTGCTGTTGTATGACATTCGTTTGTATGTGTATGTGTATGTAGGTTTTCTGATTTCTGGACTCAACATGTTGGTGATGATGCTGTTCTTCAATATCTTCCTGGGATCTTACATGGTCTTCCAGGTAAAGTATAGTCTCTCATTTCCAGGTCTGTCCCGGTGCATGTTTTACACGTTGTACGTGGCGTGACTGTTTCCACATGTTGAACCATCATGCCGAGTAAACACAGACGTAGTGGGAGAGACACACATCCATACACATGTAGTACAGGTACATACACTTCACTGTCCCCCTATACAGTCCCTACACAGTAAGTGTCACCACGCAGTACGCACAGATGTCACAAGCAAGCATTAGAGTTGGCTCTTCTCTAGGTTTATAGGCTTATTTCTAGGCCCCTCGGGGTGTCTAAATCCCGTATTTCCACTGCTGCACAGTATAACCTATACTTATACAGTGTTTCCCAGCAGGGTAATATTCAAACAAGGTGCTTATGAGAACAACTTGCAACTCCACCTTTCAAACCACTTCCTGTTGGGAAATCCCCTACTGGCCTAAAGCCTTTCTCTATAAGCGCAACTGCATACTGTGCAAAATAGCGCTATTTGCATGCACAATAATTGTACACGCCCATTTTCAGGATTTTTCGATCCGGGAGGAGCACCCTGTAGTTATAATGCTGCTGCTTTCTTATTGTATTTAGTTGACTCTTGTCCACCTTCTCCCCCTCACAGCTGGATGTGTACGGTGGTCTCATTCTGTTCTGTGGGTTCGTTCTCTTTGACACCCAACTGATTGTGGAGCGATTCAACAACGGAGACGACGACTACGTCCGTCACTCTCTCGACCTCTTCCTCGACTTCATCAACATCTTCCGTCGTCTGCTCGTAATCCTGGCCTCCAAGGTTTGTTTACTCTTGTGAGACCTGGACAGGGAGAGAAGGAGGGAGGGAGGGAGGGAGGGAGGGAGAGGAGAAAGAGAAAGAGTTTTACTGAGGCTGCTAAATTTGTGTATTCCACACTTAGTCTTTTTCACTCCTCAGGAATGAATCAAGTAAAAATTGAACCTTACAGTAAACTGCATAGTTGTTGAGTTTCAAACTGTGTGAACTGTTCCATACATCCATTCTACCTTTTACTTGATGTGTCCACATCTTTGACTTCCTCCCCCCACCCTGTCTTCTCTCCCTCTCCCTCTCTTTTTTATCTCT